TGCTGCTGCTGCTGCTGCTGCTGCTGCTGCTGCTGCTGCTGCTGCTGGGCATATCCTTGTTGATGTCTAGGGATTCCTAGTGAGCTGTTTAAATAAGCAACAACAAAATTCCCCCACCCCCGCCCAAGCCTATCTCCTGCTCATGATTAAAGCCACAGAGGAGAGGGAAAGTCAGGCAGATCTGCGGTTATATAAAGAGAAGTATTATATGGGATACCCAGCCAACTACTCTTTAAAAACATGTTTTGCATGCTGGGCTGTAGTGAGACGTACTTTCAATCCCAACACTCAGATAGAGGCAGGAGAATCTCTGAGTTTTGGGCCAGCCTGGTCCAGGACAGCCAGGGCTACACAGAGTAACCCTGTCTTAAAAAAATCAAAACAACAACAACAACAGCAACCATGTTTTCCATCCTGGAAGTTTCCGTTCTGTAAGTAGCAATTGTGAGGTCAATATGACAAACATTCATTTATTAAATTTATTTACAGTTGGGTCTTAAACAAGATCACTAGAGATGGGGGTGTAGCTCAGTGTTAGGCATGAGGCCTTGAATTTGATCCCTGGAACAGCAAAACACAATGAAGTTGTGTTAGTGAGACTTTCTGGAGCAAGCTTAGTGCTTTCTGATGAGTGACAGCCAGAGGTTTTCATAGGTTCTAGTTTAGTGGTGCCATTCTGTGTTCACAGAATGTCCAGGTTACACTCAGTGACATCATCAGCAGATGATGCTCCAGGTTTTCACTCAGCAGTAGAGGGCCATGGGGAGCACAAGCTGCTCTGAGACATGGTTGTGTGAAAGTTCACAGAAAGGGATTGTCAGAATGATCTATTTGAGGTAATAATAATTCTTCATGTGTAGTAAGTCCTTCTCTATTTAAAGACCATTATTACATTTTAAAAAATAAAGGTTGGAATAAGAAATCTATTTATCAGGGAGGAGTTTTCTCTTTTATTTTGCTTTCCAATTAGCAAACAAATGTGCCCGCTGCTGTCAAATTCTGGTTTAAAAATAGCAATGAAGGGAAAATAGAGTTGCATGTACATTTTAAGTATCCATGTGGTTTAGATCTAACAAAGTTATGTTCCACACTGTCTAGGTAACCAATACTCATTTTCAAAGACGTGTACACATATGTGAAATAGCTGTTTATGAGACACATAAAGAAAAATGGAATATTTGAGAAGGATGCCTGAGACAAGCTAATAAAAATAGCAGCCATGCTGTTCAAGGGCACGAGACAGAATTCTTTCACTTTAGGAATTAAGGGCAACGACTTATGTTTGTTTACATAGCTCAAACCCTGAATCCTAAACCATCATAATTTACAATGCTTCATCTGCTACACTCAGCAAAATGCCCAGACACAGCTGTGCACGCTTCTCAGAGGCTGAGAGACTCTGTCTTTTCCACACAGACTCTTTATCGTCAAATTTATCATATCAGCTTTCTGGGCAGGAAGAAACTATTCAGCAAAGCATTAAAAAGCTCTTAGTGGAACGCCGTTGCTTTTGAGGGCAGCAGAGTTTTACAGACACTGAAACAGCTATTGAAGTCCTGTTTTAATAAGGCTGAGACGCGAGACCTGGGGAGTTTGGTTGAGACAAATACGTATCTTTAGAGTTACATGTATTTTGGGGACTGGGGTAAGATAGCTGCATTTCTTTCAGCATTTAAAAGTATGGACACACATATAAATACAGGAAACACCATGTCAGCCATAATTTTGAGTTAAGGTCCGCATTGTTATATATTACTCCATATTTTTTTCTATGAAGACATTTCCATTGTTTAAAGGTTATTGGGGTTCCGAGACAACCCCATTCATTTTATAACAGACCCCAGAGCTCAAAAACACCAAGTCCTTCATCCACAAATCTTAGATTGGCTTCTACTCCCACCCGTCATGAGAACAGAAGCTTTGAAACCAGACGAAGAAGTTTAGTTAAAGGGCAGCTGGGTCTTCAGCAGAGTCTCTGAAGATGCTTGTCTGCAGAGACATCACTTGAATACTATTTTTTTTTTCAACCGAAACTTCAACCAAGATTAAATGCTTACTTCCTTCAGAAAAAAAAAAAAAAAAGCAAGGGAAGGAGAATAATTGGACAATATAAAATCCATCCCACCTCCGGTTTGTTTCTAAATAAGCCATTGGAATTAGGAGGTAGAAGTGGACAGGGGGAGCTGGTGGATGAGGTGGTGGACAGGTGAGTGGACGTGTGTGTGTGTGTGTGTGTGTGTGTGTGTGTGTGAATGGATAGGGAGTTGGTGGAGGGAAGGAAGCAAAACCAGGAGTTACTGTTTCAATTGTTGACTTGAACCTTTCCATTGCCTGCACAGTGAACCCCCACCCCGCTTCCCCCGCCCCACCCCCAGACACCTTCAGGGAAAGGCTATGACACTCCTGTCTCAAACAGCTGGTTTCAAGGTGGCTGGTTATTCAAACATTTTAGGAATTAACAAGAGTGTAGTGCAAGAAAAACGACTGATTTTTCTTCTTTAATTTTTTTAATAAAATCACCTGGCCGGGGGAAGATGGCATAGTGGTTAGGGTGCTTACCATCAAAGCTGGTGACCTCGCTTTTCAGGCAAGTTCAACTCTTGGAACCCATATGGTGGGAGGAGAGACTCAAACCCAACAAGTTCTTCTGGCCTCCACATGTGTGTGCCTTCCCCCTGCACAGGCACAAAACACACGCACAAACAAATAAACAAGTAACAGAGAACCGACTGTAACTTAGATGTGGTTTTGAATCGGGCCCAGTAGTCTCACAGAGGCAGGCCTGCGCTGGGGCTGGTGTGAAGCCTCAGGTTTAGAGTGTGAGGGTAAGTAGGTGGCAGGGAGGAGCTCTGCTTGCATCCCCCCTCCCCCTGGTGCTGTTTGTATAATATTGGGAGCAAAGATTCCAGGGATGATGAAGAAAATAGAATGGTGGGTGCTGTCTGTGAGGTAAGGCTTAGAAACATGGTTTGTGTCAAAAGGGAAAGTAATCCTCAAGTCCTGACAAACAGGAAGAGCAGGCTAAGGAGGATGGGGAAGCAGAGTCGCCCCTCCTTTGCTTCTTGGCCTTGGGGCTGGATGCTAAGGACACTGTGGGTGCAGGGAAACCTTATCACAAGGCTGCTTCCTGAGGTGGCACAGTCAGACCCCTGGACAGAAGATCCTCCCCGCCAGGTGTATCCTCAGGTGTGACCACTCACAGCATCTGAAGCCAGGGACAGTATCAGCTGCACAGCCTCTCCGTTGCCTCAGTTTACCCTCTGCCTGCGCTGAGAGGTCTTCAGATCCACCTAAGGTTCTTACCATCCAAGGGCACTTTGTGAGTGCATTGAGTTTCTCCCTACACTGACTGGGCTTTGAGGCCCACTGACTCTGATGGAATTAATACCACCATTCCTGGTATAATACTAGGTATGCTGACTCAACTCTTTGGATTGTAGTTCTAAAAATAAGACCCAGCAGTACTGCCCAGGAGTCTACTCTAGGGCCCTGTCCAGCATGGCTGTTGCCTAGGGCCTGCTGTGGAGTTCCCTGTGGGGTGTGTCTGGGGTGTCTAAATGTTGAGATAGCGACCTCGGGAAGCAACTGCTGCTTCCTGATGCTAGGCCCCACCCCTCTTCAGGTCACAGGTCATGCAAAGGGAACCAGCCACACCCTGGGTGGGTCCACAGAGTAAGCATAGTCAGCTTGGACCAGGAAGGTCAGGGTCATATTCCTGGTGACACCAGGGAGCTCTGGCTGTGCCTGGGGCATGGTTCAGTGCTGACACAGAAGGGCCTTTGTCTGAGTGGCATGGGAGTCTTCCTCTGTGGTTTTCAGCTGGTCAGCCTCTGAGTGGACATGGCTCTCCAGAGGGTGCAGAACATTCAGGGCAGCTGGTCTCCAGCTGGCCATTCCCCTTATGTGACAGAGAGACAGAGGCTGCTTTAGTGTTCCAAGATATTCCCTGTCTGAAGGACACTGTCCAAGCCTCTAACCCTGAGTTCCACCTCCACCCTTCAGTGTGTCTACCATCCTGTGTACCTCGTCCACTTAGGCCCCTCTGGAAGTCCAAGCCTGTGCCCTTGGCTTTGTCGGGTTGAGGATTAGGGGCACAGTTCAGAGCTCTGCAAAGAGGAGCTCATCGTCCCCTTCGCCTTGGGTCAAGGTGTGAGCTTCGAGGAGAGAGCAGTGTCCTGTCCCCGCATGATGTGAGCCTGTGGCACACCTGGTCTGTGTTCTCTCCCCTTGCACCCACTCTGGAGAGACCTGACATGTCTGATCCTCCTTCCGTCCCCTGGCAGGTGGAGCTCACAGGCAACAGTATTTATGAATACATACATCCTTCTGACCACGACGAGATGACAGCAGTACTTACAGCCCACCCACCACTCCATCATCACCTGCTCCAAGGTTCGTTCTCCACAGCACGGGGAAACCAGAATGAAGCAAGGTCATACTCTTACTCTAAGGAGAGGGTTCGCTTCAGCTTCCCACACCTGCCAGTGTGGGTTTGGGTCAGATTAACAGCAGCTACACTTGTGCCTCGGGGCTGCTTGCTTACACTGGTGTGAATCAAGCCCAGGGCTTTGCACTTACAGGCTGAGTGCTCATTCTTTGTCTCCCAGCTGCCTCTGTGTTTTCAGTGGATGGTTATGAGTCCCTACTATGTGCCATGAGCTGTTCAGCATTGGATCACAGGCTGTTCCTTTCACATGGTCCTGGTTCAGAATGCCAGCATAGCCTGTTGCGAGCCTAGGCCTGCCTGCTTCTTCTGAGGACAGAACCAGGGGCTGGGGAATGTTAGATACCAGGGGGAAATTATATCTGTGTAATTTTGCATTTCATTTGCACATGACTGGAGGCTTTTGATCATGCTGGGATCATTAGAACCTTGGCTTTGTTGCCACAGATGTGACAGAAATATAAAAAGATGTAAGCGGTGGATACTTGGGAACTTCTGAGTGATGAGGCCGTGGCTGAATCTTAATTTAACACAGTAAATGGACAGCTAGTTATGTTCATATTGCTATGTTTAAAGATGTTGATAATTCTTTATCCACATAGCTGGTTTCTTTTTGTAATCTATTTTTTGCATGTGGAAGTATTCTGAGCAGGGACTTTAGATTAAAACCCTGGGCATCACACACACACACACACACACACACACACACACACACACACACACACATGTCTCTTTAAATTATAGTCCTGACGAGTGCAAGAAGACACAGAATATTCTAGAGGCCCCAGCCTTTCAGCTACCCTGGCAGTCCCATGAGGCATGCTGACTAGTGGGTCTCCTTCATTCCTGGGGCTACCGTTAATGGTATGGCCAAAACTTCCCTGTGTGAGGGATGGAAAAGGGGGGAAGGAAAAGGCCAGTAGATGGTTCAGCAGGTAAAGGCTGAGCCCTGGAGAGAAAGACTTGGGGAAGGGGTTCCAAGATGACAATCATCTTACCAAGCTATGGTGTTCCAGAGCCCAGCATGTAGTTGCCGAGAGGTGACGGTGTCAGTCTCCCTCTGCCAGGGACAGGGGCTAAGTTGTACCTGGCATTTGGTATCTGCTGCCTTGAAGGAAGTTAGATGTTTCTGGGCCTTTTCAAGAGCCACCTTGGCACCCAGTTCCTCTGTGGCCTGTGAGGGAGTCTGTCAGACTGACCCACTGGTCTCCAAGGTTCTTGCTATGGTCATGGTTCAGGCTGCTTTTCTTCAAAGTCTTGGACACTGTACCAGGATGTACCTTCCCCTCTTAGAGTTTGGTTGTTGGCCAGGCTCCCTGGGTCAGGGTCTGAGTGTGGGTGAGGAGGCAGATGGATGCTCTGTCTACCCTGGGGATTTTCGGGTGCAAGGTTGGGGGCTGTTGGGGACACAAGCAGGACACTTCCTGTCTAACAGCGCCTCTGCTTCCAGAGTACGAGATCGAGCGGTCTTTCTTTCTCCGAATGAAGTGCGTCTTGGCAAAAAGAAACGCAGGACTGACATGCAGTGGATACAAGGTATACGGGGCTCCTGGGGGGAACAGAAAAGGCTGGCAGGGGTCACTGTGTGTCTTATATCCTGCTTCACACTTGAGGCAGGAGAGAGGATGGGGGAAGCCACCATGTCACCTCTGCCAGGACAGAAGTCTTGAGCAAGGCTCAGGGTGGATTATGAGCCCAAAAGCCTGGCACTGTACCACAGATGTTCCAGGCTGGTTGGATTTCATCATATAAGACCAGGATTGCGGTGGCTTAGCATAGATTTTTGTCCCATCGTCTGAGTTCTACTTTGCACGCCATGGATCGGCTCCGCTGGACCAGCTGCCCCCGTGTTTGTTGAGCATCCTGGGCAGGGTCACAGTGAGCAGTGAGCGGTTGCTTCACAGAGACGTTGCTCTCTACCTGAATGCTTAAGAGAATCTGGTATCTAAGATGGTGTTTCACAACAACCACAGAGGCCCTCCCAGAAGCTAAGCCCTGCCCTCTCTGTGGTACTATATCCATCTGGCCACCCTGGCCTTCTGAAGGAGTGACACTGGCCTTGTTTCATCCTCAAGCATGGGAGGTAAAGGGAGAAGGGATGGCGTGCCAAGCTGAGTGGCACAGCTGAGACTCCTTAGCCTAGCCCATGGTTGAATTTCCCTGCCAGATATGACCACTTGCTGAGGCTAATTACGCAAGCTAGGAGCAGATCAACTACATGACCAGTTAGCAATAGTACACCTCAGAGTTAGAGACAGGAATTTCCAGGTAGGAGAGTAGGCTGGGGACAATCTGCCAGGGATTCCTGCAGGAGTCTTTTGTGCTGTTTTTCTCTGGGATGGAGGTGGGGGCGGGGCTGGAGGCAGCTGAGCTGGCAGCCCTTTTCCACTTGCCCCCTGGGAAAGGAGGAGGACGTGTTTGGGGTGCTATGAGGCCTTTGTGTTTTTCTTTTTGGAACACCCCTCTCAGCCCAGCATCCTCCTGCCTCTCTTGAGCGGCCTGCTATCTCAGTGGTGATCTCTTCCTTTGACCTTGAGGCTAATCCCACTCCTCACTTTCGTTTTCTGTGGTTACTTTTTGCACAACTGGAATGAAACCTAGTGCCTAGGCAAACATTCTAACCCAGCTCTCCCACGGCCCAGCTTTTACAGCTTGAGGGATACACTTTATTTTTCTGTACTCAGGAAGCCTCCTTGAGCCAGGGCGGGGAGCCCTTAATTCAACCTGCACCCAACAACATGTTCCTCCAGAGGCCCCGTACTTTCCTAGTTTCTGCCACTTGTCCAGCTGTAAACGCATACATCACTGTTTGTCTTGCCCTCGGTTGTCCCAGTCAGGAAGGTGGGAAAACAGGCTAGACTGGAAGGACTTCAAGATTTCTTCCATCTCTACACACTGTAAATTTGTGAAAACTGTAGAAAGAATTTTTGAACAGAGAATTTGAGTGGGCTGTGGATGTAGCTCAGGTGTAGAGAGCTAGTGCTTACTTAGCACAAGAAGCTCAGGGTTCGATCCCCAGCACTGCAGAAACTGGGTGTGGTAGTCAACTCCTGTAACCCCAACACGAGGGGGGTGTGGGCAGAAGAATAAATTGAAGGTCATACTCCACTGTGCTGCGAGTTTAAGGTAGCTTAGGCTATGTGAGACCTAGCATGGGTGTGAGTGTGTGGCTAGAGACAGAGAGAGACAGAGACAAAGAAAGACAGAGACAGAGGAAGACAGAGACAGAGAAAGACAGATACAGAGAGACAGAGACAGAGAGACAGAGAAAGACAGAGACACACAGACAGAGAGACAGAGACAGAGACAGACAGAGAGCTAGAGTTCAGATGACCACTGTTGTAATAAACATGGCCCTCAAAGGATTTCAAGTGTTTAAATGGCAAGCACACTTGACCGTGGGCGGAAGTGGATCGGGTGCCTCCAGGGGCCTTATTTGCCCTGGGACCTGTGCAGTCTCCAGTGTGGTCTCTGGCTCTAACTACTGCCTGGTGACTTATTGCTAAGTAAAACTTGTATTATAAACAAATGAAAGGTGAACACATTGGCCTGGGAAGTCGGCTCAGTTGGTAACATCCTTGTCAGGCAAGCATGAGAACCTGTGTCTGGATCCCGGCACTGGCCAGGAAATTTAAATAAAGATTTGACTTAGAGAATTCTTAATTCCCTGGAGTGATGAGTGTGTCGGGTGATAGAAGTGTCAGATTCAATTCTGTTAGAAGTTGGAAAATGTTTTAACTATGGCAAGTGCTCATAGCAAGGCAGCTAGTTCCCTAGTGCATCGTTATTGTGTTCTCTAGTCAAACTTGGCCAGGAGTTTCTGTCCGAGTCCACTGTGCATTAGTGTGTTAGTGAGCCTGGGCAGTCCCTGTGCATTAGTGTGTTAGTGAGCCTGGGGCAGTCCCTGTGCA